ATGCAGCGAAAGCGGCTATGCTTGAATGCCCTTTTCGAACTTTATTCGCACAGTTTGCAGCCACACAAACCATTCGAAGGGGAGGAGGCAGGGGGACAGGGCTCAAGATATGAGTTGTGGGATTCCCTGTCGACGCTGATTGGATGTGAAACGTCGCTTGCGTCACCCATGGGAATTCTGAGCGCCAAAGCACTTACCCAGGCCTACGCCTTTGGTTATATTGATGGCAATCTCATTCTTTGCACCTTCATCTATGAATGGTCCGTCTATGGGTAAGGGCTACTCAGAGTTACTAAACATCTACGAATATCCTCAAGTAATGGCGCTAGTCGAACTTGATTGTCTCAGAATCGGCTGATGAACGCCGTCGAATGGTTGCTATCTCAGAGTTGCCCCATAACGGATTATGATTTTCTTAATATCTGCTCCCTCTGTTACTCTCATATTCCTGCATGCTCTTAATTTTTAAAATTTACTAAATTATCAACTTTCTAGTATTTTGGGCGCTCGCCTGTGGTCCGGTGAAGGCAGAGTGAGCTTGAACACACGAAAAACAGGTTCGTGCTAATCTGTTCTTGACAGTTCATTCAACTGAACTTCCAAAATTTCATGATTTTTGAGGTTTTTTTGGGTGAACCTCCACAACCAGCCATCAATCAACAATCAGGCATTTTTATTTAAATGTTCTAGTTTGTAACTATTTAATATTTTCTGCAATTTACTGCTGTTACTGTTATAGTACTTATATTTTATTAATTCTGATTATTGTATTATTTGTCATTTAAAAAATTTTCCGTCGTATTTCCACCACGCTCTGATCTTTGAAGATGGTTTTGGCACGACACTTCCGCAATGGGCAAGTATTCGACAACCTAGTTTTTTTTCAAAAATCTCAATATATTGTAATTATCAGTATTGCTGGTATTATCGAAACTTTCCTGCCATATCCTGCCATCGACTTTCTTGTAACTTGTCTTGAGTTATCACTGCGAATAGTCCTTATTGAATCCTCCAAGACGGATACAAATTGAAAAGGCGGGATTTCATGCATGGCAGATGGAGGGTTAATTGAAGTTAACCGAAGAGGACCGGAAAAAAAAAAAACGAAGAGACAGCTCCTGTAAATTTTTTGCTATTCTACCAGCTAATGGTGCTTCACAGTACGCATATTATAATATATGTCTAAAAACTTGTGGTTTGAGTACTCTATAAGACGACGTAGCTCGTGCCTCAAGTACTTGTGAACCGTCGGGGGGCACCCATCACACACAAAAAGCGACTAAGGAAGAATGCGTGGCGCATTTCAAAACGGGATGATTTATTGGGGGGGAAGGTGTATTCGCCCTGTATTTATAATGCCATTCCTTGGGACTGATATATCTACTTTTTGATGAAGGCCTTCATAGAAATCGTTCAGGAGTTTTGAGATGCGGCTCAAAACCAATAGCTTATCTGGCATTCGATTTAAATTTGACACTAGTGTTCCTACAGTAAAAAACAAAATCAAGTCGGCTAGAAATTTCGTGGCCGCAAATCAGATATCTTTGGCCCATATAGCAGCCTGAAAAAGTAAAGGGATTATGGATGTACACTGTCAACCGTGCTGCTGACACTCGTTACCCTTTCATGGGATCCTTAGGCTGAAAAATGAGCTGCCGCTGCAGTTTTCTTCAACCGGTGCAATGGCGTCGTTGTAGTCAAGGACTCGAAGAATACGGCTTTTATTCTGCATCATCACTGCAGCTTAATCTGGGGGGGAGGGGGTGATGGCACTTGCAAACGTGTCAGCGATATCCCGGTGAACGTCGGGTTCATGGCACACCTCAAACCGAGCTCAGCAAAAAAGTAGCTGCACCATCCCCGAGGTCACGAAGCGGTGTAGTGGCAAGTGGCGCAGCTTACGTGGCGGACACTCATGGATCGAATCTCGATCAGCATTCGTGTAAGGCAACCGAGCCATCTAACGCTTAGACTGGCTAACTGGTACCGGATCAGGAAGACGACACCATTCATTTGTAGATGACCCACAAATCATTGTAAAGCGATTTAAATGTGATTTGATTGATTTATTTAGTTTATACTTGTATAATGATTACAACAACAATGTTTAAAACTGTGATATATTTCTCATATAATAAATTTCTCCTGAATTTAATTTTTTGGTTTTATTGATTTCAAGGAAGTAGTCTAGTTTCCGTTTCGCACGTGCCCTTAGACGGAAACTAGACAAACAAACAACAACAACTATGTTTGTCTAGTTTCCGTCTAAGGGCACGTGCGAAACGGAACTACTTCCTTGAAATCAATAAAACCAAAAAATTAAATTCAGGAGAAATTTATTATATGAGAAATATATCACAGTTTCAAACATTGTTGTTGTAATCATTATAACAAGTATAAACTAAATAAATCAATCAAATCACATTTAAATCACACGTTAGTTAGTCATATGAAAGCTAGAGAGAAGAGATTCAAAGGCCATCCTTCTGCCGAAATGGAACCACCATTCTGAATGGGGATGGAGGGCATGGCGCAATCCAATAATGGATCGATCAATGCCAGTCTTCAACCATCTTACGCTGGCTGACCGTTTGTCGTATAATCGGAACCCTTTCAAACGTTTCCATGATTCTCAGTGAAAGTCGAGTCCATGGCGCGTCCAAAGCAAGTCTCGCGTAGTTACTACTTTAGTTTTTCGTTCATGAAGCCAAAGAACGTCTGTTGAGGGTAAAACTGCAACTACTCGGCTGAAAAAAAGATGGACATCGAGGCGTCAAGGTTTGTAGTTGGGAAGACGAGGGGGGAGGGCCCACACCCCAGCGCATCCCTTTCTGTCTTTTACAGAGTTTGTCTTCTGTGCGGGGCTACCCCCCGTCTAAGCATAAGAATGAGCTCTCTGGGAACATGACACAGAGGCTATCCCCTTCCCCACCCCCAACTCGTCTCAATATATCTGTCTGCTGCGAAGTCTTGTCTCCGCCTTCCTTTTTCTTCCTATTTCGTTCGTTCCCTTTCTTCCTGCTCTCAACCCTCTTCCTTCTTTTCTTCCTTGAAATGCTTAGCCAGAAATGCGATGAGAATACCTCCGAATCAACACAGCGAGAGAAGATCCGGTCGAACAGAAGCTCTACTCCCCCTCCCCCTCCTCCCAACTCCGCTAACGCATCGGTTCTAGAAACCTATGGAAGTAAACGTTTCCAATTTTGAAACAATTTTAAAACAAACTTTCTACAGCCTATATTGCCAACATTTAGGTAGCAATGCCACTAAGTTCCACTCAAGGTAGCACTTACGCCGAGCTCTAAGCGCCTAGATTGACCCCTTGACCGCTTCCCCCCCTCAACTACGTTAGCGCATCGGTGCTATAGACATTTAGGAAGCGGACCATTACAAATATGAAACTCTCCATATTCCATACAGTTTTACCGATTTTCATTTTCCCCAAACCCAAAAAAATTACCATAGTCTTACCAAAAACAGTCCTTAAACGCCCCGTCTTAGCCCTCAGCTTCGAATCCCGTCGACGGCGTGATTTGCTTCAGGGGACGATTGCGGCTGGGCCGCGCATATGTTGACCCGACCGTATCCGCAACCCGCACCACTGACTCGCCGCATTTCGAAATTTATTTTTTATTCGGCCGTCGATTACCGTTTCCCGCCTGCGGCACATCTAAGTGGCGTTGCCGCCATTTTGAAATTTTCGATCCGTTACCGGTTCGGGACGTTCTTGTCAACGCCTGTCGGCATGCTGTCACCTCTTTGGGCAATCGTCACTTGACCCCCCAGCCTGCAATCCAGTGTTTCTTTTGAACCCCCCCCCCCTTAAGTATTTCCCCGGAAATTTTTCCCTCATGCAACTTCTTGTAGATGGTTTGAACTAACTTTTTTGATTGGTAATTATTTTCTAGATATTTCAGTATCGCTGTCGTTAACAACGGTCGTGTCAGTTCACACTAACTCACGCTAACCAACAACTTTTTTCGGCCGGGGTTTCGTCAGGATGATGCTGCGTAGCAGGAATAACAATAGCACGAATATCATCAATAATCAGATACCAGGTAATTATTTTTTGAATTCTGTTTATTTACATCTTCAGAGATTCTTGAGAAATAGACGAGACTACCTTTTCCATTTTAGAAGCTTGAATGGGCTCAAAAATCTTGAGGTGAGCTATTTTAGTGCAGGGGACCAGAGCCTCCAAAATCATAACAAATTTCTTTATTGTAGTAAAGAAATGCATCGTGCGCCTTGGGAGGGAGTGAGTCTGCTTTTTCGCATAAGTGTTGTGCTAGCCGGCTATTTTCAGAGCTGGACGGTGGGCGCGCGAGAAGGAGCTCCTATGGTTTTATTCGGACTCTGGGGGCTTCCAGGGGTGGAGGGGAGGCAGCCTGTTCTTCACCAACTGTGGGCTGGCAGGCGGTACACAAATTGCTGATAACAGGCAAGCGCAGCACTACACCCACCTTCCCCCTGAAATGGCCCAGCGTTCGCGGCGAACAAGACTGTAGCTTGGCGAACCCTTATATTTGAGGAAAATTGGGATATTTCAAAAGGTTCGCCTGCCGTAACTACCCCCTCCCCCTCTGAATGGCAGGATGCTATATAGGTTATTAGGCACTGAGTATTATGGCTCCTACCGAGGCGCATGGCGCCTAAAAAAGGTGAAGGAATAGTGAGAAGAAATACCAATAAGGATTTTGTCTGAGGGCGCTGTTCGGCTTGGAAGGGGCATTTTGTTAGTTCCCTTTGGCGAGGAGGAGAGAGCTCGTTTCCACTCATAACGGAGGCTCTGGCAGAACTGTGGCCAAATCCGCATCCCATAGATGGGATGGGCATAGTCCATAAGAGCACGGCGTAGGATGCGTTTTGTGAAATATTCTCACTTGGGACCTGTCATCCTGCATTCGAAGACGTCATTTCTGTTGTCTCAGGACGGCAGTATTGCGAGGGGCAGCCGTCACTAAGTTCAATTGAAGTGTGCGCGGCCACGCCCTTCCCATCTCCGGGAAATTGGTGTAAATACTTCATGGGGTTCGACATCTTCATTGCACCCAGCCTTAAATTCGGAGTATCATCATTATTTTTCAGGGGATGTGAAACGTGGTAAGAAGCAGACGATACAAGCCGGTGACAACACATTTGAGCCAAAGCCGAAGCGGCCCGCATTCGCTGATCTCAGCAGGGTTAGTTCTTATTACCGATCATTCGCACGCGTGATTACTGTACTATTACGGTTAGGTAGAAATGATCCTTTAATCTATTTTGGCTGGGCTATTTTGGACTAGGATCTTCATAGACACTAGTTTTTCCTGATGTTATATTCGCACAGAGGCGGAGGTGGTGTCGTGACAAGTGGCGCGCTTACCACTCGCGCGGTCCTGGGTTCGAATCCCAGGTCGACACACCGCTCGCAAGTCAAGCCTTCTAACCCACCCCGGGGCGCGTAACTTGGTACTAGATTGTCATGGGAGCATAAGAACACTAGGCTGTACCATCGCGCGTGCCACCGCAAGTCATTGTATAGGCTTATCGCATATAAATAAGTCCACTACGTATACTGAATTGGACGTGAATGCGTGCTGCATCCTACAACGGGATTGATTAACGGCGAAGACTTTACTCCTTGATCCTTTTTATATTCGCACAACTGCATCGCGCGCGCCTGCTTTACCTGGAACGCGACTTTACTGCAGGATTCACATAACTTCGAGACACTGCTACTAGAATGAAACGCTTCAGGTGATGTAGTTCAAAAAACATGCATTTTTCGGATGAACGCTAAACCTGGCAGGATTCACCCCAATCCGCATAGCTATTCTTTGGTTACAGCAATCACAAAGAACCCTTTGGACTTTGATAGCGACTCAGACAAATTTTGGCAGGATTTCCTGCCAACGTTCCCCTATAGAGCTTTATTGCCTTACTATTTCACCTGCTTCCATTCATATTTACCGAGGTACTTGTGATGGTGTGAATTTCAGGCTATTTCTAACGTTGTGATCGATTCCTCTAAAAAACTTCACCTAACAAAGGACAGCCGTCGTCAAAATTCTCGTCGCTCCAAGAGCCGTTCAGAGTCCTCCCTCAACTCGATCAAGGAGGATGTTGAAAGGTAAACATTCTGCTTGAAAAGATGATGCAGAGCTGTTGGAAGCTCGTTCATACTTCGCGATGCTGTCGCACCATCGAAGCGAATGGATTGCGAAGTATGAAGACGTTTCGAAATTCCATCGCCTATCATTAATATCATATAATGAGTTTTCAGCGAAGGACTAAATATCGTTGTTGAACCAGACCCATGTCCTGCCTATGACTACGACGCCGAAAGTGGTCCAGACATCGCAAACGTTTCTGAATTTGCTTTCGACATCTTCAAATATTACAAGTCCCGTGAGGTTGGAAATTGGGACTTACATCGATTTTTAAGCCCGACTTCACCTTGTTGTCTTTTTTATGGCTGTACTTTCCTAAAAGTTTCGAGGGTTTTCCTTGCCCGGAAGCGCCCGGGCAAAAGTGGGTAGTGTAGTGAGACAACGTCATTTAAGGATTTCTGTGTTGTTTTTCCTCTGACTCTATTGAATGGTCCTACCGAATGGAATGACCTAGGTAATGATAAGGATTGGTACTCTGCAAATACGGCATATTTTCAGAAATTGTTCCACGTTGGTGACTACATGCATCAGCACCCACAACTGAGCAAGCAAACTCGAGCAGTAGTTGCTGATTGGATTGGTAAGAGCGTGAGCCAGTTATCTGCCACTGCGGAGTCCTCTAAAGCCTTTTAAAAAAATTTCATCAGAACTTCCTTGCAGATCCAAGAGACTTTCGAACTCAACCATGAAACACTGTATATGGCGGTGAAAATCCTTGACCTCTACCTCTCGAAAACCAAAGGAGTGCAGAAAGACGATTTGCAGGTGTTGGCCAGTGCAGCTTTCTTCATCGCGTGTAAATTTGAGGTCATTACCTTTCACCTTCATCACAGAAACAGAAATATCTGGTTGACACTGTTCTTGTTCAGGAACGCAGTCCTCCCCTCATTGATGACTTTATGTACGTCTGTGATGAGCAATTCGATCGCGCTCAGATGATTCAAGCGGAGATCAAAGTGCTGGATACTATTAACTACGACATAGGATTTCCTCTCAGCTACCGATACGTCAGGCGATATGCAAGAGTGAGTATACATAGTTAGTAGAAGTACTCCTTGAAATAACCTAAAATAAGAGTGGGAAGATTGTTCCGGGTCAGGGTTCGGGTAAAGTTCACAAATAGGGAAGCATGCCTGAAGGGGATGTCAGATTAGGCTTCTAATTCCTGGTCGTACATTCCATATCCCGAAAATGTGAGGGTCGTGGCTCCCAGTTCCATTCGAATTTGGCGTAGAATGCGTTCTTCGTAGGATATTGTCGTTAGACACTACCAACATCTCTTTTTGGGAGAAACGAAGACTGCTACCAATCTCCCAAAACGCTAATATGCCATTAAATACGCGGCCGTCGCCGCGTTCGGAAGGAGTCTGCGGCCACGCCCTCCCAATCTCCGGGATATAGAGCGTGGAAGTATTTCGATCTGTACTGGGCTCACAGTCGTGTTGTGTGTCCCTCAACTGAAGCTTAACTACTAACCAAAGAGTGCTTGAGTAGACAGGTCAGGATGATGTGGTCATATGGGGTTGCAGGCTCCAGGGATGGATTCCAGACTCTGGGGATACGAAGGATAAGCTTTCAGAGTTGTTCTGTTCCCTGTGCCAAGCTCTTTACATTCATCCGTACTGGTATTTTGAATTTCGGGGGGAGAGGGGGGAGGGCCACTGATGACCAGGTAATCTTCAGTTGCAAGTATATCGGTTGGCCGACCCCGGAGGGATGGAAGGATTATTTGGCTCGGGCGCGAGCTTCTCCACGATCTGACCACCGTGATAAGCAGCGCTACGTGCCGCCACATCTTCGCCGTTAGCAGACATATCAAAGCATGATGTTTTAGGTAACCAAGACTGATATGCCAAAGCTGACGCTAGCGCGTTACATTCTTGAGACATCCCTGATGTTCTACGAATTCGTTGGCGTTTCGGAATCGTTGATGGCGGCTGCTGCCATTCTTCTAGCTTTCAAAATGCATGAGAAGGAAGCTACATGGTCAGTATAAGCATCATGTTCCATGTTCCGACTCACGAACAGCTTGAGTGTTCTCTTTTCAGGTCCCCGATTTTGCAAAAGTATTCTGGATACAAAGCTGATGATGTTGAACCTCTCATGTGGGAGTTAAATCACATGCTTCACAAACGCCGAATTATCTACGAGCGCTTGGAGACTGGTGTTTTCGAAATATAGCCATGAGTGAGTTCCTATCAACGGCTGGGCCGTGTTCATACTTTGCAAATCTGGAATGTAACGAATGGAGGAAATGGTGTAATGGACGAATCGAGAGAATACGCGTCAGAGGATTGGATGCGAATTGATCGACTCGGAGGCGCATTCTCCTGTTCACTAATGTGCTGAGTCCACTCCCGTCCTTCACCGAGCATTCCTCCAAATGGGAGGCGATCGGATGATACGACTGGCATCAG